TTTTTTTTGGGGGGGTGCAGTGACTCTGTTTATTATTCCCATCTTCTTTGTTGTTTCCTGCATTGTTCAATATTTTGTCCATAGAATTCTTCAATATTGAAACTCAAGGCTTTGAGTTTTTCTTCAGTTATTTCAGCTTGAAAAATGCCAGGCATGAGCTTCCCTTTTGGTTTTCTAACTCTAGGTCTTTGCATATCTCATTATAATACTTTACTTTGACTTCTTGAGCCACCCTTTTAAATCCTTTGTTCAGCTCTTTGACTTCATCATTTCTTTCATTTGTTTTAGCTATTCTACTTTCAAGAGCAAGTTACAAAGTATCTTTTGACATTGACTTTGGTGTTTTCTTTCTTTCCTCTCTTTGAAATGACCTTTTGCATTTACAACTTATGGTGTCCTGGATATCATCCTACAATTTATCTAATCTTCAGTAATTAGTGTTCAATGTGTCAAATCAGTTCTTATAATGGTCATTAATTTAAGGTGGGCTATATTCAAGGCTGTACTTTGACTGTCATGGATGTGTTTTATCTGGTTTTAACCAGTATAACAAGCCACTCCAAGTTCCTTCCACCTGCCTCAGACCATCATGGATCTAATACCACAGCTCTGGGCTAGACAGTCCAGCTTTTATAAAATGAGGTTGAAAAAGCTCTTTAAAATGTTCATGAAGAAATTGATGCAGCCACAGGCAAGATTGTCTGTTGGCTACAATTGGGGCAGATGGACACGTGGGTGTGTGGGTCATTTCATGCAACACTCAAAGGACATGAAATAATGGATGAGACATGCTCCCTAAAGTGATAGAGGAGGGAAGTCACGACCTGGAAGGGGTCAGGACTATGAAGGTCTGCAGCCTTGGTGGTGACTATGATCCCACACTGAAGTGAGCATCCTGGACAAGAAGCATCTGTAGGTGGCGAAGATGGATTAGAAGAATTCACAAAGGGAGAACACACAGCACAGCCCTTCCAACCAGGTATGACTGGTTTAGTGCAGGCACTTAGAGGTGTGGGACCCAGGCTGGGCTCTGTGCTCCTGGCCAACCTACTTCATGATTATATGGTATCAAGTAGCATTCCAAGTTTTCTGGACACAATACTAGACTCTTGGAGAAATGAGTGGTAGACTTGATGTCACTTACCACTTTAAGAGAGAGAGGCCCCATGCAAAGGCCCACAAGGGGCTGCATGGGGACAGGATAATACCAAGCTTGAACTGGTAGATGGTTTATGTATAGCTGAGGGTTAACTAGGTCAGAAGGGATCATTCTCTGGAGAAGACTATCATGCTTGGTAAAGTGGAGGGTAAGCAGAAAAGGGAAAGACCTTAAACAAGATGGATTGACACAGTGGCTGCAACAATGGGCTCAAGTATAGCAAAGATTGTGAGGATGGAGCACAACTGGGCAGTGTTTTGTTCTGTTGTATATAGCATTGGTATGAGTCGGAGCTGACTTGATAGCACCTAACAACAACAACTAGGCTTGTGGGGGTCCTGGAGATTGGGCATTTTGAGCAGTTCTGTGGGCTCCAGAGCATAGAGGCTGTCCCTAGTTGTTGGTACTTAGGGCAGATGCTGAGTGGCCCAGGACTGTGAGAACCCAATAAGGGGAGTGGTGTCACATGGATATAATCCAGTACTCAAGAAGGGGAACTAGCCTCCAGCCAGGGCTCTATACTGAGTTAAGAACTTTTTTTTTTTTTTTAAGAAAAAACCATTTTAAAGGAACTCCAGTCACTGAAGGGCTCAAGGGTCACACACTCAGACCTGCCCCTCTGTTGTACAGCCACTAGGACAGCGATGACTGCTCAGTGCACTCTCTCACACACTGTATGGGGCCTCTGGGGCAGGGTCATAACCAAGACATGTTAATCATCCATGAAACACCAATGCTGGACAGGGGCCAGGAACTCAGATCTCCTGGAAGAGACAAGGGGTCACTTAGTGTACTTAGAGTTCATAGTAGGGTGGGACCCCAGTGGGCAGAGGCACAGCTAGGGGCTGTGCTCCTGGAGGAAAAGGATAGAAGACTGAAGGTTGGCCCCATTTATTTGGATGAGACTGTCGTGTGTGTTGGGGGTTCACTTGGCCAGAAACCTAGTGCAGTGGGCAGTGTTGTTGTTGTTGTTGTTATGTGCCGTCGAGTCGGCCCCGACTCATAGCGACCCCTCCTTGGGTCTCCAAGGCAGTATCACTGCGGAAGTAGGATTGCCCAACCTTCCTTCCGAGGAGTGGCTGGTGGGTTTGAACCACCAGCCGTCTGGTTAGCAGGCAAGTGTCTTAGCCACTATGCTACCAGAGCTCCCAGTGGGCAGTGAGGTAGGTGCAAATGCCTTTGGAATGGGCTTCTTTCCCTTGGATCTTGGAATGGGTGGGCAGCTAAGGAAAATGTGGAGTGGGAAAGGCCTGGGGAAGTTTTAGGAGACAGGGGGTCCAAGAGTAGCCTGACCCCCACCTCCACCTAGGGCAGTTTCCACCAGGACCTCTGTTCTGCTTCCACGCAGGGCCTCGTGTCCTGGGTCCAAGTCTGGGCTAAGGTACTGGCTTAAGGTCCAAGCAAACCACCCACCCAACAAAGCTGTACCACAACCAGTGCCCATACCAGAGTCTCCTAGGGACTGGTTTCCATGAGTTGGGTACAAGAGTTGGATGGGGGAGAGACCTGCTGGCTGTGTCAGTTCAACTCTGGCAGAAGGGAAGGAGCTTGCCCAGGGCACGCTGGAACTCCATATTCCGCATTGTATAGATGAGGGGGTTCAAGGTAGGGCTCAGTGCTGTATACAGCACCCCTGCCACTTTGCTCCTCTCGGGGCTGTAGCTAGAGGCAGGAGTGATGTAGGCATAGAACACAGCAGTGTAGTACACAGAGACCACGATGAGGTGGGAGGAGCAGGTGGTGAAGGCACGGCGCTTGCCCTCCCAAGAGTGGATACGCAGGATGCTGGCCACGATGCAGCCATAGGAGGCCAGGGTGAGCAAGAAGTTGGTGAAGCCATAGAACCCATCAGCCAAGACAGTCATGATGCTGTTCACTTGCGTGGGGCTGCAGGAGAGCAGCAGCAGTGGGGGGATCTCGCAGAAGAAGTGAATGATGACACGAGGCCCACAGAAGTTCAGCATTGTAGTCAGACCTGTGTTGACCGAGGCATTCAGAGCACAGATGCCCCAGACACTCCCAGCCAGTGCCACACACACCTGTGGGCTCATGATGGTATTATAGTGCAGTGGGCGGCAGATGGCCACGTAGCGGTCAAAGGCCATGACCAAGAGCAGGAGCAGCTCTGAGGATGTAGACCAGAGGAGGAAGAAAAGCTGGGCCATGCAGCCTGCATAGGAGATGGTGTGTTCTTGAGCAGCCAGACCTGCCAGCACCTTGGGCAGGATCGTGGAGGTGCAGATGATGTCCATGGTGGCCAGGTTGGACAGGAAGAAGTACATGGGGCTGTGGAGGGTGGTGCTGATACCCACCACAGTGACAATCAGAGTGTTGCCCGTGAGAGCCACTATGTAGAGCACCAGGAAGCAACCCAGCAGCGGCAGGTGCAGTGAGGGGTGTTCTGAGAACCCCTGAAGCACGAATTCAGTCACCAGTGTCTGGTTGAACTTTACAGTCCTGTCAGGCTCCATGACACCCAAAGCTTGGTCGTCACTCCAGAAAACCTGCAGTGAGTCACACGATATTCACTTCAGACCATGTATTCATGGGTGACCAGAAAGGGAAGGGGTGAATTTGTTTTCCCATTGAGAGCCCATTTCTCTCCTTCACCTCCACCCACCTTTACTTTTATTTTCACTTTTCACCATGAGTCCTCTAGGCTTGTGTTCAGGTGCCTGCTATTCCCTCTCTCCCACACACACAGGTAAGCCCAGTGGACCCCCATCACCCAGGAGCCTGCCAGCCGCAGTAGGGAAGGGCTGCCCCACCCACCAGCTCTTCCTGCTCCTGCAACCATTCTCTCTCTGGACTGCTCACTCTGAGGTGGCCTCTTGTGGTTATTCCTCTCAGATCCACGCCGTCAAGCTGCTTCTTCTCAGTCATTGTGGGGTGGGCACTTCTTTTCATTCCTACTTCAGTGTGTGTGGCATCTTGTCTATCCCTGTCCCCTCTGTGGCCCACCACCTCCACCCCATGGCTGAAGCTGCCCACAGTTTGATATTTTTCATATATGTCTCCACTAAGTCCCACTCCCAAAACCAGGACTTGGGAACATTCAGTCCTTCTTTGGATTTCTGCCTTTATGAGCTACAGGCCCTTCCAACTCAACACACCCAAACCTCAACTCAGCACCATCCCCCAAAGTGCTCCTGGACTTTCTTCAGTGCATGCTAACTCAGTCACCCAGTCAGACACCCAGACAGAGGCTCAATAGGGCAGGACATTGCCTCTCTGGCTCATTGCCAATTGAGAACTCCTGGCCAGAGTAGGCACTGAAAAGAAGACAATGGTTCAATGAGCACATGATAGTCTGGTACATCATGTTCCCTTTTCATACAATTGGTCACCGATAAACAGGTAAAATCTTATAGCATTGCATGTAAGTGCTCCACCTCTCACACCCTTGGCTATTTATTTACTTCAGGCTTCTTTCACCTTCTAGGTGTCTAGTTTCTCACTCCAACCCCTCTCATATGTCCTCCACTGGGGCCAGAGTGGGCTTCCTGGAGAGAAAGCCTGACCCTGGTATTTCTCTCCTTAAATCTAACCTGGAGCTCTCCAGAGGCATGAACTACATTGCTGAAGATTTCTCTTTGTTTGGCTTTCTCCCCAGGGATGCTGCTGTGCCCATGTGGTGTTGCTAAAACTCTAGTAGATATTTGAAGTTATACAGGGAGTTTAGGGGTCCCAAATTAGCTGGAAAAAGAGATGGGATATGTGGAATGTAAGGGTCTACACAGCAGAGAATCCCCAAATCTGCACAAAAGAGTGCCCTGGTCCCTCAAATGTGTGTGCTTGTAATGCATATAACTATGTATCCACGAGAAAGCCGTGTGTGTGTGTGTGTGTGTCTACATGTGCATATGTGTGTGACTGTATGGGAAATAAAGGGAAACTGCACCTAGAAAATGGAAAGAACTGCATAGAGATATCAGCTACAGGAAGAAGGAGTTTGGAGTTTCATCCCAACCAAGTCAAATACCTGACGGAACATAAATAAACACTCTTGAAAGGCAGCTATCAGAATCCAGGCTTTCTACAATGCATCATGTACAACATCTAGCATACAACAAAAAACTCCTGGATATGTAAAGAAATGGGAATGCAGCCGATAGATAAGTAAAAAGTAGTCAACGCAGACCAAACTCAAGATTTTGGAATTATCAGATTAGGAACATTAAAACAATTATGTGAATATGTCCAAGGACTGAAGGAAAATATACCTATAATGCATGAACAGATAGCTCATCTAGGAAAAAGAAACTATATAAAGGCCTCAAAAAGAGATGATAGATATTAAAAGTACAATATCTGAAATAAATAATTAACCAGATGTAAATAAAGCACACAGGGAATGATGTAAGAGGACTTCATAGTTAGAAAAATAGACATCATCGGATCTGAACATGAGAGAGAAAGACATTGTAAAAAGCATGAACAAAATCTTTATGACCTACGGGACAATATAAACAGTCTAATATCTCTAATTGGAGCCATGGAAAGAGAAGACAGAAAAAGAAATTATAGATGAAAAATCCATAAATTTAAGGTAAGAAGATAAAAAACTGAAACTAGAAGCTCAGTAAACTTAAAAATAGGGTTATATAAGGAAAAACACACTTCAGTACATCACATTCAAGCTGTTGACAACTAAAGGTAAAGAGGAAATGGCCAGAGGAGAGATTACAGCTCATTACACAAAAGGGAACAAGGATGTGAAAGTCAGCTGACTTATCATCAGAAGAAATGGAAGCCAGGAAACAACTGAAGGACATCTTCGTAGTGATGAAAGAAAAAAAAAAAAAAACCCAAATTCTATATCTAATGAAAACATTCTTCAAAAGTGAAGGTGAAATACCTGTGGCTTCCAGCCAAACAAAAGACAGGCATATGAGGTGAATATTTACACTAGACAGATACACTCCTTGGGGAGGAGAATCATGGGAGAATAGAAGGGATGTTTATGCACAGGGAGACAGCACAAGGGGCAGGAGTGCATGGAGGGATGGACACAGGGAAGAGGTAACTATGGGGACGAAATGGGAGGGGAGCTATTGCATTGTGGGAGACTGCAGTCAATGTCATGAGACAAGGTGGATGTGAGCTGCTGTATGGAAGGTGAATTTGCTCTGTAAACTTTCACCCAAATCACAATTAAAAAAAAAAAAAGTGAAGGTAAAATAAACTCATTTCAGACCATGGAGAAGTAATAGTCAATAAACTTATTCCATAAAAAGTGCCCAAAAGAGGTAGATAGGTGAAATGTAATACACTAGATGGGAGAAATAGGTATTAGAAAGAATCAGGACTATCAGAAATGATAACTGTGTATGTAAATACAGATATAATCTTTTCTTAATATATTTAAAAGGCATGTAGAAATTTAGACCAAATTACAGTGGAGTATGGTAGAGTTTATAATTTCCTGTATTTAGATATCATACATATGACAGAGTGCTTATGTGAACACTTGTAAGGTGCTGATACTTAAAGTCACACAATATTAATTCTGTGCAGGCTGTGTGAAGTTAAAGATGCATATTGTAAACCCTAAAGCAGTGTCATTCAATGAAAACCTCTATGATGATGAGATGTCTATTTCTGCTCTGTCCAATTCAGTAGCCACCAACCACATGTAGTATTAAGCACTTGATGTGTTAGTGACAGGAAGGTGATTTTTAATTTTAATTACTTTAAAATAATTCAAATAGTTGCATGTGTCTAGTAGTTACCATACTGGATAGTGAAGGCCTACAATCATTTTATTTTAACTAATGAAAATTGATATAAAAGGGTACACTAGCAATATTAGACTAACATAAAGACACAGGAAAGAAAATGGAGGAGTAACGTAAGAGAGATGGAAGATAGAATAAATAACAGCATTGTGGCCCCTAATACAACCATATCATTAATTATGTTAGATGTCAATAGACTAAACGTTCCAAATAAAAGAGTTTGTGAAAATGGATGAAGAGGTACATAAAAGGCAGAGGTTGTCAAGTGGATGAAAAAGCAAGTCTCAATTACAGGCTATCAATAGGTAACACACGTTACACATAAAAAGTATCTGTGAGCTGAAGTGAAAGGGTAGAAAAAGAAATATCGTGCTGCCAATATGTATAAGAAGGCTGCAGTGACTAGAACAGTACCAGAAAAAACAGACTTCAACACAAGTTGTGTAACCAGGCATAAATGTGGACATTCCATAATGATAAAAGGATCAACTGTATCCCAACGGGAAAGTGCCTGATAACAGAGTTTCAAAGTACAGGAAACAATAGCCAACTAAATTAGAGGGAGAAATAGATACATTCATAATCACAGGGTATTTTAACATCCTTCCCCAGGTAGTTTGTCAAAAAGTAGACAGCAGGTAGTAATGCCACAGATCTGAAGAGTACCACCAACCCTCTCGACCTAGTTGATAGTCACAGAATGTCAGATCCATCCAGCACAGCATGTCTATGTTTTTGAAATGCACATGGAATATTAACCAGGATAAAGCTTAGATTTCAGCAAAATTGAAAACACTGAAATCATTCAGAACATATTTGCAAACTACTACAGAATTAGAAATGAATAAGAGTAACATACCTAGAAAAACTCCCAATGATATTAAAGTAGATAACAAACTTCTAAATAAAAAATACGTCAAGGAAGAAATGACAAGAGTGATTTAAACATATTTTGAATGGAATGATTTAAAAACACACACACACACACATGATATCAGCGTTGCTGAGAAATAGACGAAGTAGTGCTTAGAGAGTTTTTTAGCTTTAAATTACATTAGAGATAAGCATATATTAAAAGAGAGGTAAGGTTTAAAACCAATAATCTAAGTTTCCACTTTAAGAAGCTTTAAGACAGGCCATTTAAATATAAAGTAAATAGAAATAAATGATAAAGATAAGGGAATAGGTCAATGAAATATAAAACAAAAAACAGGAAATAAATTGACAAGTTTGTCATTTGGAAAACTTGACCAAATTAATAACAGTCTGGGAAGTCTAATTCAGAATGAAATGGAGACAATAACTACCATATTAAAGTTTTCAATTAATTACCATTAACCAGAATGAAAGAAAGAACTACTATCACACAGACCTTAGATGTCTAATGATAGAATATTATGAACCTCCTCTGCTAATAAATTTGAAAACACAGACAAATTGCACAGATTCCTTGAAAAACACATCTTTCAAAAACCAACAAAAAGGAAATAGAAAAATCTGTATCATTTTTATGTATGTAAAGTAGTGGCTGCTTATAAAAAACTGTTCTCTCTGATTATTACACAGGAGTTTTGACAAATATTTAATGTAAAATTACTATTAAAACTTTATAAACTCTTTTTGAAAATAGAGGAAGAGAAAATCTTCACCACAAATACATAAATATGGAAAGACATGCCATGAGAAAATGGTTTAAACACTGATACAAAGTTCTCAAAAAATACTTGTCAGAA